CATTCCACCGGCCATGAAACGCTCACTGCCAATGCCATTCCACCGGCCGTGCCATGCTCACCGGTAATACCATTCCACCAGCTACGCCACGCCACGCTCAATGCCAATACCATTCCACCCACCGGCCGTGCCACGCTCACTGCTAATAACTTTAAAAGAAGATATACTCACGGGAAACTGCAGAGCTCCGTAACGCCTCCTGCGAAAATAACAAATCAATGATGTGATGGGTTTGAATAAACAGACAAACTGTACATTTGAAAACTAGACAGACAGCTAGTGAATGAGAGGTGGGGGGAGCAAGTTACTGGAAATGAATATGTTAGAGGCAGGGGCACCTAGCTCCCGTCCCCAATAAGAGGCGGGGGCACCTAGCTCCCGTCCCCAATAAGAGGCGGGGGCACCTAGCTCCCGTCCCCAATAAGAGGCGGGGGCACCTAGCTCCCGTCCCCAATAAGAGGCGGGGGCACCTAGCTCCCGTCCCCAATTAGAGGCGGGGGCACCTAGCTCCCGTCCCCAATTAGAGGCGGGGGCACCTAGCTCCCGTCCCCAATTAGAGGCGGGGGCACCTAGCTCCCGTCCCCAATAAGAGGCGGGGGCACCTAGCTCCCGTCCCCAATTAGAGGCGGGGGCACCTAGCTCCCGTCCCCAATTAGAGGCGGGGGCACCTAGCTCCCGGGCCCCCACACACAAGAGAGGCGGGCATTCCAGCCCCCGTCCCCCACTAGAGGTAAGGCGTGGGGGCACCTAGCTCCCCGGCCCCCAATTAGAGGCTGGGGCACCTAGCCCCGGGTCCCCCAATAAAGAGGCGGGGCACCTAGCTCCCGGGCCCCCAATTAGAGTATGGGGCACCTAGCTCCCCGGCCCCCACTAGAGAGGCGTGGGGCACCTAGCTCCCGCCCCCACTAGAGGCGGGCACCCTGGGGCTCCCCGCCCCACCAGAGGCGGGGCACCTAGCCTCCCGCCCCCACCAGGAGGGCGGGGTAACCTAGCTCCCCGGGCCCCCAATTAGAGGCGGTACCTAGCTCCCCGGCCCCCAATTAGAGGCGGGGCACCAGTCTCCGCCCCCAATTAGAGTATGGGCACCTAGCTCCCCCGGGCCCGTCCCCAATTAGAGGCGGGGGCACCTAGCTCCCGTCCCCAATAAGAGGCGGGGGCACCTAGCTCCCGTCCCCAATAAGAGGCGGGGGCACCTAGCTCCCGTCCCCAATAAGAGGCGGGGGCACCTAGCTCCCGTCCCCAATAAGAGGCGGGGGCACCTAGCTCCCGTCCCCAATAAGAGGCGGGGGCACCTATCTCCCGTCCCCAATAAGAGGCGGGGGCACCTACCTACGGCTCTATTATAAGAGTTGACTTGATGAACAGCTTTTAGGGTAGTGTATATCTTGTACATATTTCAACAAAACAGTGACAAACACAAAGCAAGCTGTGGTACTGCCCCACACACTGTGCTGCTGTTAAAGGACCACTATAGTGCCAGGAATACACTCGTTTTCCTGGCACTATAGTGCCCTGAGGGTGCCCCCACCCTGAGGGACCCCCTCCCGTGGCTCTGGGTAGAGGAAGGGGTTAAAATCTTACCTTTCTCCTCCTCCTTACCTTCCTTACCTTTCTCCTCCTCCTCCGAATGTGCATGCGTGGCAGGAGCTGCACGCGCATTCAGCCAGTCTCATAAGAAAGCATTCATAATGCTTTCCTATGGACGCTGTTGTCTTCTCGCTGTGATTTTCACAGTGAGAAGCACGCAAACGCCTCTAGCAGCTGTCAATGAGACAGCCACTAGAGGCTTTAGAGGCTGGATTAACCCATTTGTAAACATAGCAGTTTCTATGAAATCCTAGCTGGACCTTGCACCCAGACCTCCTCATTAAGCTGAAGTGGTCTGGGTGCCTAGAGTGGTCCTTTAAGAACTGGCTCTTGGGATGTCTAGATATTTCTGTAGGTGGATTATAATTGCTCTGTATAGTTGGTTTCCTGCTACACACAGTAGGTAACTATTAACAGACCTGTGGGGGACCATGGCTAGTCTTTACTGCTGTCGTATTGTACAGCTCCCTTAGCGACGTATAGCCTAGTGTCACTGACAGAATGGACAAGTCTGGTCTCTCGTTCTATAACTGATCTCAATTCTACCAGGATTAGCAGGAAGTGACATTTTTCTGATACCTCAATAATGGAGTTATCCACAGGGCCTGTGGTGCTGTCAATATGAACGTTTGGGGTAGAGGTGGAACGGTGTCTCTGCAAGGGTGGTCCCTCACTGGGAAATGAAAAGGAACCAGATCCTGGGTGCTGTGTCCGAGGGCTGTGAAAGGGAGAGATGGAATGGGGTGGGAACCAGGGACACAATGAAAAGGAAAAGCTTATACTAAAATAGTAAAGTGTCCTTCATTACCTGGGTGGCTGTGGTGTTAGGGGCTCGTAGGACAAACTGGGGGTATTGTCATAAAATCCTGGGAAGTCGTGGTAATCAGATACCCTGCAAAAATCAAAAAAACAAAAACAAAAAACAGTGAGTATTCTCAACAATATAATTAACATGTATCATAACAGCCTTATAGTCCCTCACAAAATACATTGAGTGTCATCAAGCTTCCTCCTGGTCAGTGACCCCAAACACCCTCAAGATAAGGAACCTGTAAAGTCCAATAATAGACGCAACCACCAAGGCGGATCAACGTAAAGGAACAGAAACACTTGACAAATTAAA